GACGTTTTTCATTCAAGTTGTAAAGTTACATGTATCTAAGTTCTTCCTACTTTTTAAAATGCTTGTACAATAGAATCAAAGTTTAGTTTGTACATAAAAGGTATATGACTGTATAAGAGGGAAATTCGGATCCGCCAATGACTATGTAAATGCGATATGTGGATTTAAAAGCGCGATTTGCAAATAATGGCATATTCTAATTCGAATAGGGCGAATTATTCTACGGGCAGGTTACCTAAGGTGCGAACTCTCCAGCATTCTCGCGCATGCGAAGCCTGTCGTTTGCCCAAGGCATCCTGTTAAACCTCGCTTATATATTTACTTCGTGGACCCCAGGGTCCACGCAATGACATATATGTCTGCAATATATTCCTTTTAAAATTGTTCCTATACAAAGCAATAAACGAAAAAAAGTCCATCATATCTATTGTTATACCTTTAAAAATTTGTTCTTACATAAATCTAAACGAAAAAATTCTAACATTTTTAATGTTTTGCTGAGCGGGCACAAAAAAAATCGATGTTGGACTGTTGAGTGAGATGTTGGACCGCTTACGCCACAGAATGGGTGGGGCTTAATCTCATTTTCATTCGTTAAACAGTTAACGTTAAATCACGGAATACAGTATAAAATACATGTATGTCAATAAAATAAAATGAAAAGTATAACAAAATAATTATTGACAGAGTTCTCGGGCTAAATGCGTTTTGTCGGACCCTCGAACCAAACTGTGTGCTTTCAGTCTAACAGCCTCAGACAGACAGTTTGGTTCTTGGGTCCGACAAAACGCATGTTGCCCTCGAACCCAGTCAATAAATGTGTAATGATTTGCTGAGCAGGCATAAAAACATTCGATGTTTGACCGCTTAGTGAGATGTTGGACCGGTCGATGAGATGTTGGATCGCTTCAGTCACAGAATGGGCGGAGCTTAATCTCATTTTCATTCATTGGTGTTCAGAAGTGACGGATCGGAGGTTACATCACGGTAGATAGTACAAAATACATGTATGTGAAAAAAAATGAAAATGAAAGGTATAGCAAAACATTTATTGACTAAGTTCTGCGTTTTGTCGTTCTAGCATCCTCAGACAGACAGTTGGTTCTTGGGACTGACAAAGCGCATGTTGTCCTCTAACTCCGTCAATAAATGTATAATATTTAACTTATTTAATTTAACTTTGACCTTTTTCATAAATATGTAAAATTAACATAAATAGTTAAGTGCTTTTCTTTGTTTGCTAGTACGGAAATTAACGTCGGAGCTTTTGCAGAAAAAAATATATAAGAGGTATATAATATTTTCTGCAACAGCTGCGACGTTGCCCAAACTCGAAAATCCTATTTCGTGGGGGTGGGGTGGGTGAAGGGGGGGGGGCAACTTTTTCGGATACCAACTTCTTTCAGTATCTTCTTCTTTTGCATACAATGCTACATTACCCTTATTTCAATTTACTGTACCACAAAAGGGGGAGGCAACCAGCCTATCAATGAACATTTGCAATAGTAAAAGTTATGTTGGGAAAAAAGTGGGGGGGGGGAGGAGCCCCCCTTCCCTTCTCTGTTGCTACGTGCCTGTATTATTTCATAAATAAGGAAAGATGACAATAGAAAAGCTAAAGTTATTCGTTTGGCATAAAATTTACTTTTAATTTGGTCTTAAATATAGTTAGTACTGGTATAGTCAGAAGAACGTCCAAATATGAATCAGACGTGGCAATCATATACATGAAAGAAGGACATAAAATTTCTGCATGTCTGAAAAATATCGTGCGTGTATTATGTGGATTCAATTTTATTTATAAACAGTGGGAATCTCTTTGAGAAATTCTTTTCAAAATTTACTCGTAGAATAAAGAAGATTCCATGCATAATGTACATTCAAGTACGTGTACATGTATGATAACATGGTCGTCTGAGAATTGGATACAGGCATATTTAGAGGAATTTTTTAAATCCCATTGTCATATTGTAATTTTTTGATTACCGGGTGGTAGTAAATTCAAAAATTACAAAATGACACCACTTTAAAACAGTGCTTCAATTGTGAAACTAATGTAAAAACATTTCAATACAGTCTTGTGTATTTTGAATTTTTGATGTAGATAAATGTTTTCAATTTTGACCTTCCTAGTGAATATAAGGATATTTCATTCCTAAATTGAACTGAAAATACAGTAGATTGAAAACAATTTCAGAAAAGTTATATCATCTGCATCCGAATTTCGCTCAAACGAACATATTCAGGCACTAGGAAATTGAGAAGGGGCTTGCCCTCCGGTTTTTGATGCCCGCATAAAGCGGAGCGGATCAAAAACCCTTGATTTGAGGGGGTGATAGAATCAGGAGGGGTGGAGTATCCTCCTAGGAAATCCTCCCACTTCTATTTCCATGATCGTATTTTTTTGTTGTTGTTCTTTTTTAACATTTAAAATGTTCACTGGAAGTCTGATTGTCCTTTTCATGCTACCCCCAAACGTTTTAAATTTGATACAGAAGAGTAAAAGGAAATCACCCTTACATCACAAAACTTTTTGATCCAAGATATTTCTAAGGTAATTTGTCATTTTGCCTCTTAAAATACACCTTTCATTGGTATGCTTCGATATTTATTGTTTTTCTACATTTTGCCAAAAAAGATTTCAAATACAAAACTTATACTGGTTAAATTAAGCTGATGTTAGCTCCGATGGTCTCATTGGGTTTGCATGTCTCTGACTTTTAAACAAGAAACTTGACATGTCTGCTCCATCAGTTTTAATCGTTGAATCATATAAAACTTTCATTGATGTTTTTTTTTCTGTCATGACGATCACTGATTTTTTAAAATTGAAAAACAACGCTCTCCTTGCCCTTTTGGGCTCGATAAGCCCTTTACTCCTCTAAATTCTGAGTCATTGCCTTGACCTTAAAAAAAAATACAATGATGGTATAATGTAATATTATCAATATACGAGGGATATTCGGAAATTATTGAGACATTTACATTTACTCCATAAAGGACAGAACTTTTTCTACGGACATATTCAATGGGGTTATTATTTGTCTTTATTTATGCCCCCCCCCCCCCAATTCTGGAGAAAAAATTTCAAAACTAGTTCAGGAAGTTCTTAATATAGTTTTAGTCCATCCTCGCAAGCCACTGGTCCTGAGTGAAAACATTGCGTTTTGCGCAGTTTGGGGGGGGGGGGGGGGATTTCTCCACTTTTAAGCATTGATCAATCAACTACCATTCACTCACTAATTCTAGACACATTCTTTCAACAATCTGTTTATATTATCCACCTCTCAACTCTTTATAGTCAGGGACGTAGCAACAGTGGGGGCCAGGTGGAGGCCAAGCCCCCCCCCCCACTTTTTTCCCCAACATTACCTTTACTATTGAGAATGTCCACTGTAAAGTTGGTTCCCCCCCCCCCCCCCCCAATTCTTACCACCGTATAGTGATATGAAGGAAATGTAGTATTGTATGTATTGTATGCGAAAAAATTGGAAGTAAAAGGAAGTTGGCCTTGGAAAAAGTTGGGAATTTTTTTTTATGCTTGTCAACTTTTACAGGTAAGTAAAAAAAAATTCTCTGGTTGCCCCCCCCCCCTCCACTTTCAAAAACGATGCTACATGCCTGATAGCAGTCTCTACAGGCGATAAACTCGCTTGAAGTGTATTTTCAGCAATTTAACAAACGATTCTAATCAAATCAGTTTACCACTGTAAAGGATTTGGAGGTGGATAAAATATACAGATTGGTTACAGAATGTGTCTAGAATTCGGGAGTGAGAGTTAGTTGATTGAACAATGCTGGAAAAAGGAGAAATTTCCCCCAAAGTGCGCAAAAAAATCTTCAGCCGTAAATGGTACCTTTTTTTTGCATTACGGGATCTGTAGCTTTATGGACAAGACTAATATTTAAAACCACAACGCTACAGTTCTGCAGCTAGGAATTAGGTCACACCAATAAAATTTATTGTTCGTCGGACCCGCGCGCTCTTATTTAAACAAAACTATACAAATAATATAAATTTGAAATTCCCGCACCATTGGAATTCTTTGCTGTTTTCTGTTATATTTCCGCTCTATTTATCGTACTTTTAATCTACTTACTCTGCAAATCAGAAAAAATATAATTGTCCGCTCAATTTTTTTCACGCCCCGCCTTAAAATTTTGCCTTCAAAAAAGTAATAATATTATTATTTAACCGCTACCCCGCTCGTACTTTTTTCATCAAATGTCCGACGGACAGTGTGGCCTTATTCACATGTATTGACTTTTACTTCCTTTCCTTTTTTTCTCAAATTTCTTCTATATAATCTACTCATTCTAGTATATGAATGTATTGAGATGTACGACAGTGTGGTTCACATGTATTGACTTTTACTTCCTCTCCTTTTTTTCTCAAATTTCTTCTATATAATCTACTCATTCTAGTATATGAATGTATTGAGATGTACGACAATTACAATGGAAGTTAATCCTTTCATTTTCAAAACAAGATGGAATGGAATGCAACCCCCATTCGAATTAAATTCATGTCTATTAAGGACATACACAACGTACCTTACCTACTGATAATTTTCCAAGATATTCTAAATTTAAACTTATAATATCATTAAATGTTCTTGGACAAAAAATCAGCATGCGTTTCCAGGGGTTTTGAAAAGATATCGAATTTTGAAAATTTTTGCATTATTTAAATAAAAATGTACAAAAATTATAAAACATGAATTCCAGATTTTTTTCCATCAAAAATTGTTTAAGAAGAGGTGTACAAATCCATATATAGACATTAAAAATATTGCACACAGGCCCTTCATTTAGTGGAACTCTTCAACTCCAAGGCAGAATCCAAAAAAGTTAAAACTACGTTGCGTATGACCTTAACATGAAAGTCAAGAAATTTTACTGAAATTCTAAAGGACATTATGTACTCCTTTAATTAATATACTATTATATGAACCTTTCTCCTTCCACAGAAGCCAATTTGGATATAAAAGCATAAAGTGTACACTTAAACTTGTTTTATTTTCTTCCTTGCATGGTCATTTCAACATAAAAGTATTTGTACATACATTTTAAAAATTTGTATTATGACAAGGGATAATTTTCACTGAGTGATTAACAAATTCTTCAAAATTCTAAACAAAATATGATAAATCTTCTACAATTGTTTCTATTAAAGAGCTTAACATTAATGGACTGAAGAAAATAATGCATTCCTTTTGAAAATAAAATAACCTAACAAAACCTGCTTCAGCTGTGTATTGTATATGAATATCCATCCACTGATCTCCAAGTAGACATGATTGAAGAATTGTGGTTCTATGAACTATCATTTGGCAAAGAAAAATTCTGTACATTTTAGTTTTAAAATTTGGTCATTTTTTGTATAATTTTATAAGGAGCTCTCCTTCTAAAGGAGATCAATATAGTCTAAAAATGGCCACAACCACCAGCCATATATAAATTTCCTTCTTATGAATTCTGGCATGTGGTAATTTGAAGAAAAAAATGAATTGAATCTAAATGATCTAGGCCACACTAATGAAAATTTTTGTTCGTCGGACCCACGCGCTTATTTAAACAAAACCATACAAATAATATTAATTTCAATTTCTCGCACCATAGGAATTCTGTGCTATTTTCTGTTCCATTTCCGCTCTATTTATTGTATTTTATATCTGCTTACTCTGTAAATCAGAAAAAATATAATTGTCCGCTCAAATTTTCACGCTCCGCCTAAAAAATTGCCCAGCAAAGAGTAATAATATTATCATTTAACTGCTTGTACTTTTTTTAAATCAAATGTCCGATGAACAAGAAATTAAATTGGTGTGGCCCTACATAACTTTTTAAGCTTTGTGAAAAATGGTAACACTACATGATTGTATATATAAAAAGAATAAAATTACATGTACATGCATTAATATAAATTATAAGGCAAAATAATCCATCTTTAGATCTATGGTATTGTTGATATAATATTCAGACATAAAGTTCTTTAATTTTCTTTATGACTAATGCCTTCATTTTTTTACTTCCTTAATGTCAAATCAAATCCTTTAATGGTAGTGCTTTGGGTCATGTTGCTGTGAAGATACATCGGAAATATGCAGTTTTCTTCTTCTCCCTGTCGTTTGGAGTTTTAAGGTACCGAGATAATACCTGAAATTAGAAAACATCATTTCTGAGCATTTAAAGCAATGTAATCAAGCAAATTCAAATAATTGTGGTCCCTCGCTTTCGGTGTCTTAGTTTGTAAGGTGCTATTATATATAGCATATTGTGTTAAATATTAATTCCCTATCATATATTGTCAATTCCAAAGCAATATTTTGAATTAAGGTCAAATAAAAAGGTCAAGGATTATAATCATTCCAAGGTCCGAAACATCTCGATCTTGTCTCACAAAAGGGACATCAAAAATGAAAACCAAAATCAAAAGTTACAATGAAAACAAGAGGCCCATGGGCCCACATCGCTCACCTGAGCACATGGGCTAGTTAAAAAAACACAAGTCAGCTCAGTATTGAAGTTTACTTGTTGGGGGGGGATGAAATTTTTTAATACTTGAGAACTCGCTTGATTAAAATTATATGTTATACATGTACTGCTGAAAATTCACTTCAAGTGAGTTTTTTAACTGTAGATATAACTAAAAATGGTTGGGAGGTGGATAAAATATACACTATTTTATACAGAATAAGTCCAGAATTAGGAATGGAAAGGTAGTTGATTGACCAATGCTAGAAAATGGAAAAATTTTCCCCAAAAGTGCGCAAACAATGCCCCGTAAATTCCACCTTTTTTGCATTACGGGACCTGTAGCGTTAGAGTCAGACAAATTATATAACCATAGTGCTACAGATCTGCAGCTAAATTTTGCCATACTTGAAAAGATATTACTTGATCTCCCATTGTGACCCCTCGTTAACCCTCCCTAAACCCAAGAGATCATGTTATGAACAAACTTGAATTAACTCTGAGGATATTTCCATATTAATATCACAATCATAGCTTTGCTGATCTTGAGCAAAGGATTTTAAAAAAAAATTCCTATATATTTCTATATAAAAATTTGATCAGCCAGTGTGGCCCTGCCCTACCCCCGGGTGTCATGATTTGTACAAACTTGAATCTACACCACCTAAGGATGCTTCGACAAGAGTTTTATCTTTCCTGGCCCAGTGGATTTTTTAAGATTTTTCCTATATATTCTATGTAAACCTTTGATCAGCCATTGTGGCACCGCCCTACCCCGGTGAGTCTTGTTTTCATTGTAACATTTGATTTTGGTTTTAATTTTTGATGTCCCTTTTGTGAGACAAGATCGAGATGTTTCGGACCTTGGAATGATTTTAATCCTTGACCTTTTTATTTGACCGGGGCTCACCTGAGCACATTGTCTAGGAAAAAGCACAGATCAGGTCAAAACTGAAAAATTGAGAGGGGGGGGGGGTCGCTTGGTTATGATTTGAACAAACTAAAATATACATTAAGGGGGTTGATTCCATATAAATATCACTAATCATGGCTTTGAAGTACTTGAGAAGAAGATTTAAAAAGATTTTCATATATATTCTTATGAAAGAGTTTCATCGGCCATTGTGGCCCCATCCTACCCCTGGGGGTCATGATTTGAACAAACTTGAATCTACACTACCTGAAGATGATTACACATGAGTTTCATCTTTCCTGGCCCTGTGTTTCTTGAGAAGAAGATTTTTAAAGATTTTTCCTATATACTCCAATGTAAAACTTTGATTGGCCATTGTGGCCCCACCCTACCCCTGGGGGTCATGATTTGAACAAATTTGAATCCACACTACCTGAATATGATTCCGGGTGAGTTTCATCTTTCTTGGCCCAGTGGTTCTTGAGAAAAAGATTTTTAAAGATTTTTCTTATATACTCCTAGGAAAACTTTGATCAGCTATTGTGGCCCCATCCTACCCCGGGGTCATGATTTGAACAAACTTGAATCTACACTACCTGAAGATGATTACACATGAGTTTCATCTTTCCTGGCCCAGTAGTTCTTGAGAAGAAGATTTTTAAAGATTTTTCCTATATACTCCTATGTAAAACTTTGATCGGCCATTGTGGTCTCACCCTACCCCTGGGGGGTCATGATTTGAACAAGCTTGAATCTACACTACCAGGGTCTGACAAATCCCATTGCCCTTTTTTAAAAACGCCCGGGGCTAGTGAATTTTTAAGGGGGAGAGGCAAGTGAATTTTTTTAATAGGTACATGCCCGTGGGCAAGTGACTTTAAAAAAAATCAATAAATATTTTTAACAAGAGGCCCACGGGCCTTATAGGTCACCTGAGTTTCATGTAACAACTTTCATGCAATTTTCAACAACTGATTTGGTTTGTGTTTTAAACCAGAGGCCATGAAATTCATAAATTTTGCAAAGAGGCACTACTGCTTATCATAATTATACACTTAGCATTATGCTTACTAGATAGTCACTTAACACATAAGTATTTAGAGTAAAAGTTTGATGATTGTAAGAGAAAAATGCACTTCCATTCTAAACCATGCAAAAATCCCCATCCAACAGAAACCACAGACCCTGGGGAAGAACATATTTCAAAATTTTATCATATAACTATGTTATTACATCAAATATGGTTGATTAATACTAATGAGTAAATTTCAAAGTACCCCATTTCATTTTCAGACTAGCGTTGTAACCCCCCCCCCCACACACACACACACACTTGATACCCAACGTTAACCCTCCCTAAACCCAAGGGGAACAAACATGAAATTAACCATATTTCCTATTAATGGTTCTTGAGCTAAGGATTTAAATATATATATATATACTTAGATCAGCCATTGGCCATAATACCCAGGAGCATGATTTGACAAAGATTTTCAAAGAATTTATGTAATGTAGAGCCTTCCTCTCCTTAGACCTATATATAGCTAAACCCCTGACCTAGGGGCCATGAAATTAACATATTTGGAAGAACCTTTATCATTATCTGGCCTATGTACTTAGTTTATTTATTTAATACTCAGGATCAGAAGAAATTTTTTTTAAAAAAATGCATTTTCACTAATAAATCTATATAGCCCCGCCCTAGCATATATACTAGAATCCCTGACCCCTGGGGTCATGAATTCACAAATTTGAATCTACACTACCTGAAGATGATTACACATGAGTTTCATCTTTCCTGGCCCAGTGTTTCTTGAGAGAAGAAGATTTTTAAAGATTTTTCCTATATGCATTTTCTATGTAAAACTTTGATTCGGCCACTACCTGAATACCCGGGTGAGTTTCATCCCTATCCCCAGGGGGTCATGATTTGAACTAGGAAAATTTGAAGCTACACTACCTGTGAATGCTTCCACATACCTGTTTCACATGAGTTAAGGCTGGCCCAGTAGTTCTTGAGAAGAAGATTTTTAAAGATTTTTCCTATATATTTCTATATAAAACTTTGATTCCCGCAAGCTTGTACACCCCGCCCTACCCCCAGGGGTCATGATTTTTTTAATGTAACAAATTTGAATCTACACTACCCAGGAAAATGCTTCCATATAACTATTACTTGAGAAGGGGGGGGGGGGAAGTGGCAGTGGTTGATATGAGAAGAAGATTTTTAAAGATAATTCCCTATAAATATCATAAGGTTTCATATATTCCTATGTAAAACTTTGCCCAACCCTACCCCCCATTATTGGCCCCTCCTTGAGAAAAAGATTTTTCCTAGCATATATTCTTATGTAAAACTTTGGGCCATTTTGGCCACATGATACTGGCCCAGTGTTTCTTGAGAAGAAGATTTTAAAAGATTTTTCCACTATATTCCTATGTAAAACTTTGATCGGCCATTTTGGCCTAACCCTACCCCCGTGGGTCATGATATGAATTAATTTGAATTTACAAATATGATCAACATAAGTTTCAGCTTTTCAGGCACATCTTGAGAAGAAAATTTTAAAAGATTTTTCCTATATATATTACTATGGAAAACTTTGGTCGGCCATTTTGGCCCCGCCCAACCCCAGGGGTCATGATATGAACAAACTTGAATCTACACTACCAGGAATGTTTCCCCATAAGTTTCACTTTCCTGGCACAGTATTCTTGAGAAGAAGATTTTTAAAGATTTTTCCTATATATTTCTATATAAAACTTTGGTCGGCCATTGTACCCCTCATGATATGAACCCTATACTACCTGTGGCTTCCATATAAATATGTCATGCTATTTCGAGAAGAAGATTTGAATTTTCCTATATACTATGTAACACTGGCCGGCCATTTTGGCCCCGCCCAAATCCACACTACCCGAAGATGCTTTCATTTTATGGCACAGCTTTGTTATTCTTGAGAAGAAGAATATATTTTTGCTTTTATCTCGCCCAACCCTTGGGGTCATGGAACAAACTTGAATCTACACTACCTGAGGATGTTTCCCCAAAAGTTTCATCTTTCCTGGCACAGTGGTTCTTGAGAAGAAGATTTTTAAAAGATACCACCATTTTTTCATTAATTCCTTGAATGAGGGCATGGCCCTTCATTTGGACTTGAATCCCCTTCACCCAAGGATGCTTTGTGGCAAGAGTGGTTCTTGAGAAGAAGTCGAAAATGTGAAAAGTTTACAACGACGACGACAACAACGACGACAACGACGACGACAGACAACGGACAAATTGTGATCAGAAAAGCTCACTTGAGCCTTTGGCTCAGGTGAGCTAAAAAAATCAATAAATATTTTTAAAAATATTATAGGACAGGAGTCTGAAGTTCTTATCGTCAAAAAAAAAAAAATCCGGAAAGAAATTTTCCTACCTTCAACTAAAATACACCATGATGGCAATATGTTTTGGGGGGACACACTTAAACTAATAGATCTGGGCTTGGCCTAAAAAATCTTGCAACAAATTCAGTATTCGGAGCGTTTTACTATTTATTCAAGTTAAGAAATCCAATCTGCTTGACGACTACAGGCCGTTTCTGGCCCTTTTTCCACTTTAACAGCTCATCCTGGACTCCATGCCACTAAACTGGAAGTAAATCTCGCAGTGTATATTTGACGTCTATGAACATGATCATGATGATGAAAGCTTGTTCAAATGAAATAAAATAAATAATTATTCAACATATTTTGATTCAGTTATTTTAAACATATTTAAGAAAACTTTAAAAGTTATCAATTCTTTTTCTTACTTGTAAGACGATATGTACCAGGAACAGATAATTCTATTTTTACACGGTGCCAAATTTAAATCATTGAAAAGCCAAGTCAACAAAGAGCCAAACAGCTTGTCTTACCGACCTGATGAGGCATTATTTTGCTTTAAAAATATATTTTTTTTAATTGATCACATATGGAAACATAATATTGTAAATGAAGATTTACATGCAATTTTTTTCTTTTCTTCAATTACGTCAAATATTCACTGCGATGTTCACTTCCAGTTTAGTGGCATGGAGTCCACTCCATACTCCACTAATCAACCTCTTTCAAATGACACCAAGGTCAATGACTTTGTGACCTTGACTGTGACCTTAATGCTAAAAATAGCTTTTTCCAAACTTTGTTGCCGCCGGGCGCATAGTGTTTCACAAACACATCTTGTTTTTTTTTATGGTCTACTTACCCTCTATACTAGTACTGTGTGTACATCTGTCCTCCACATTCAGCTTAAGTACAGGATCTTGGCTAGAAGTTGACAAAAATTCAGGATACCTGTAATTTAAAGAAATATCAGTAAGAATGTGCTGCAAATCACATATTCCATATAATATCAAATATGACACTATACCGGGGCAAAAAAATATACATGACTGTACTCAAGTTTCCTGTCACCTGACCTATCCTCCATTTTACTCTCCGAACCTCATAGTTTTTTTTTCACGTTTTCATTTTTTTTGCTATTTTCCCGAAATGTTTAAATCGGCCAACAATATTAAATGTTTTTTACAGATGAGTTTCAGAAGCGTTTTAATACAAAACTTGGGCAGACCTGTCAAAAAAATTATTGAACATACCAATGAGAAGTATGAAAGCCCTAACACCAACTGTGCAAAAGTTATAAGTTATAACTAAGGTTGAAGAGTGATATATTTTTGTAAAAGTGGTCAAACTTCAAGGTCAAGAGGTCAAATTTGGTGGTGGTGGTACCCAAAGAAGGTCTTGTCACAAGAAATACAAGTGTACAGCAGTGAAATATGAAAGCCATAGCCCCACTCACTCCAAAGTTATGAGCAAGGTTAAAGTTTTTGAGGATAAACAGCCAGATGGACTACAGGGCAAAATCTATTTACCATATGCATGAAGAGTAGAAAGGACAAAAATTTTTATCAATTTTTATCTATTGTTTATCATATGTATTTGAGATTATCATCTAGAGCAACAAACAAATGAAAAAATTAATCTCAATATGTTATGTCGCGACTACCAATGAGTACCTCGCAGTTATCTAACTTACCTCCGCTCTTTTGCGAGGGAGTCAAGAAAAGTCTAAATT